CCTCCTCCTCCTCCTCCTCCTCCTCCTCCTCCTCCTCCTCCTCCTCCTCCTCCTCCTCCTCCTCCTCCTCTCTTCTAGTTAGTCACTCACGATGATGCAAAAGGCTGAGGTGCCGAGCGCTGCGTTCGCTTCCGATCGCTTACAGGAAGACTTTCTTGACGTTGAAGGTGATGGCGATGAGGATGAAGGAGGAGGAGGAGAAGGAGAAGGAGAAGAAGGTTCATCGCTACTGGACATTCCAAGACTTGGTCAACCTCCTGCTGGAAGAAAACCTCTGTGAGAATCCCACCACCACCACCACCACCACCACCACCACGACAACAACAACAACAACCGCTACCTCCTCCTCCATGATCGTCTTTACCAAGAATCAGGTGAGCGGGAAGATGCAAGCTTAAGTCTCTGACGCAATCTCTCACTTGTTCTCTCCTCAGCTTCAGTCCATCTTTCTGTCTGTTCTCAAACGCGAAGAAAGTGCAGCTGCCTCCTACTCCAGCACAGCGAGCATGAAGACCAGCAGCTTGATCCGATGTCAGCCCTCCTGCTCCTCCTGCTTCTCCTCCTTGTTCTCCTTCTCCTTCGTCTCCTTTTCGCCTCTTTTTCCTCTTGCTCCTCATCCCCCCTTCTTGCGGCTGCGGCTGCGGCTCCTCCTCACGCGCTGGCCGCAGGTCTGGTCAGACTGGTTCGCCTGCTCCTGCTCTTTCACTTCTCCTCCTCGCAGAACTCTCACGGGCGGGCGGACGAGCGTGTTCTGATCAGGATGGTCGAGACGAGTAAGACATGGAGGGAGGATGAGGAGGAGGGCGAGGCGAGGGGCAGCAAGGAGGAGGAGGGAAGGAAGAGGAGATTTATACACAAGGCAGGTTGTCAGTCCCAACAAGCGAGCAGGACGGAGAAGGCGAAGAGAGTCATTGATATCATCGGAGATTTCAGCGTCCTGCAAGTTTTGATGAATCCCGAGCATCGACTGGTGTGAAGAGGAGAGGAGAGAAGATGTAGTGTGATAACTTGTTGATATGATCTGTTCGATGACTTGTTCAAGTTACATGTTGTTTTGTTTTACTTGTCTTGTCACAGTTTAGCCAAACGTGACAGCATTCACTCTTACTCTCACTCTCACATTCCCCCTTGTAGATGAAGCTCTCTGACCCCTTCAAGCTCTCGCTCAAGCTTTCCCGTCTCGCTGTCTTGCCCCATCATCTCTCGATGTTCTTCTGTGCTTCCCTTCTTCCCTGCACAATCTCCAAGATCTCCCTGCATTCACGTTCGTCATTCCTCCTCCTCCTCCTCCTCCTCCTCCTCCTCCTCCTCCTCCTCCTCCTCTCACCCTGCTATCTCCAAACTCGCTCGCGGGTAACTCGCTGCTCGCGCGTTTCTCGACATTCGCTCGAGCAGCGAGGAGTCAGCTAGCCAAGCCTACAAGAGCTCCGTCAAGCAGGTGAGGACGAGGAGGGAAGGAGTGAGAAGGGACGAGGAGGGAAGGAGTGAGAAGGGACGAGGAGGGAAGGAGTGAGAAGGGACGAGGAGGGAAGGAGTGAGAAGGGACGAGGAGGGAAGGAGTGAGAAGGGACGAGGAGGGAAGGAGTGAGAAGGGACGAGGAGGGAAGGAGTGAGAAGGGACGAGGAGGGAAGGAGTGAGAAGGGACGAGGAGGGAAGGAGTGAGAAGGGACGAGGAGGGAAGGAGTGAGAAGGGACGAGGGCGAGGGGAGGAAAGGGGGGCGGGAGAAGCTGGGGAGGAGAAAAACGACAAGATACCTTGAGCCTCTCCGCAAGGTTTGAGACGTCAGGATGATATTCCCCGATGTTCCTGCAGAATGCGAGGATGCAAGCAGAGTCAGAACATGAGGAGGAGGAGGAGGAGGAGGAGGAGGAGGACGGGGGTGGAGGAGAGAGGAGCGAGGAAAGATGGTCAAAGTGCTATAGGATGGAGGCAGGAAGACAAGGAGGAAAGAAAGGCACCTTGATTCGATGTAATCTACATTTCCCTCCTCCTGCAATCATTTCAGTCTCTCCTTTCCCTCCTTCCCCTCCTTTCCCTCCTTCCCCTCCTTCCCCTCCCCCCCCCCCTCCCCCCCTCTTCTCCTCCCTCCTCCAATTCCTCTTCCTCTTCGGTTCTACCTGTCCAGGTAGGAAGCCGGAGATCATGATGGGCAAGCCGCAGATGCATGCTTCCGCGATGGTTCCCGGACCAGCCTGACAGAGTGAGTGAGGAGAAGAGGAGAACACAGCGAAGAGCATGGTAGCTCAGGAGTATGAGGGAGGAAGCGGAAGGAAGCGAGAGGAAGGAGGGAGCAGGAAGAAGGAGAAGGAGTAGGAGAAGGAGAAGGAGTGAGGAGGAGGAGGAGGGGAGGAATCTGACCTTGGTTACAACTACATCGGAGGAGAACATCCATTCGAACATGTTCGTAACGTATCCCAGCACAAACACGCGAATCTCTCTTGGCCACTTCTCCTCCTGCAGCTCCTCGAAGACTCTAGTGTTCTCTGCGAACTGACAGTCAGATCCTCCTCCTCCTCCTCCCTCCTCCCTCCTCCCCCTTCTTTCCTCCTCTCCCTCTCTTCTCACTTCCGCAGACGATGATCAGCTGCCGCCTCATTGACCCGCGCATGCTTCCTCCTACTGCTCGCGCCAACGTCCCCAGGTCGCCGACCCCGTCCCCTCCCCCCAGCACCAGCACAGTCTGCAAGTCCTCCAGCGCGAGACCCGCCCGCACCTCCTCCCTCCTCCTCCCGAGGATGTCGAGGAACCCTTTCCGCACGGGCAGCCCGCACACAGCTAGCCTGGAGGACGCGATGCCGCACTTCCCTCCGACCTCCCTCGCGCCCTCGGTGGGGACGAAGCAGCGATCGACTGCCGGGTGGAACCAGAAAGGATGGATGTCCACGAGGTCAGTGACCACCGTCACAAACGCGATGTCTCTCCCGTTCCTCCAGCTCCTGATCCTCCGTACCACCCTCGCCACCCCGTCCTGCACCAGGGGATGGACGGAGATGATGAGGTCGGGGTCCTCCTCCTCCACGCAGCGATGAAAGTGGTCGATCCATGCGAGGGAGAGCGCCTCCTGACATCCCAGTATCGTTCCTGCCGTCATCTTCGTTGTCTTGTACACGGCTTCCCACATGCGAGGCTTGTTGGAGAGGTAAGAGTACATCTTGGGGAGGCGGTTGAAGGGAAAGTTGGTGTGACGTACAAACATGTCAACGATGGAGATCTGGAGAGGATGGTCAGCCTGCGCCTCCAGGGCTTCAGCGATGCTCCATGCCGAAGCCTTGTGTCCTCCTCCTGTCTCCGACATGAGGATCAGAACTCTCGTCGCCTCCCCGTAGCTCCTTCCCCTCCACCGTCGCTCCCAGAACCGCTGAGCCAACCTGTGAGAGAGAGCCCATGCAAGGCTGTAGAAGCTTCCGCCTCCCGATGCTCCTTCCTCCTCCTCCTCGCACCCCCTCCCATCCATGATTGCACCCACTTTGTCCTTCCCTTCTTTCCCATCCCTCACTGCCAGTTTGACCGCCATGGCTCGCTTACCTCGCGCTCATGCCATGTGGTCGACTTGTTTCATCCTCTCCTCCTCCTCCTCCTCCATCCCCATGGAGCATCTTTCTACACTTGGTTTCCCGAATTAGTCTTTCCCCGATACGAGGCGGGCTCGGCAGCCAGGGGGCGATGGGGCGGATGTGGAGATGGCGGGAGAAGGCGAGCGAAGAGGCGGCAATGAGAGCCGAGGAGAGCGCGCGCAAGGAGCATGAGCAGACTGCATGAGCGACACCAGGCTCCTCCCCTCACAACTTCTGCTTCTCTGCTTCACATACCTCGCTTGCCATGCCCGCACGCCCCCTTCTCCCTCCTTCTCCGTTCCCTGCCCCTGTGCGAGGCTCAGGGGAGGCGTCGATGCTCGCAGACAGCTGCTTGTGGGCGTAAGTTTCCTCCTACCAGTCCAAGGGAAGTGACTGCTGGTGCAGAGACCGTCAGCGTCGAGAGAAAGCGAGAGGGCGAGGAGGGTGCTTGACGGCATGAGGTCGTTGACTCTCAGTGAGATGCTGGGGCGATTGGACGCATGCCTGCTGGCAAGGAACGGGTCTGAGACCTCCATCCTCGACCTTGTGGACGCTCAGGTCCCGCATGAGCTCATGCAGCAGCTGATCCTGGGAGAGGAGAGTCCCGACGTGCGTCTGCTCCATGGGATCGTTACGGACAACCGCACGAGAGTGGAGGAGGCTCTCAGCCAGGGAGCTGATCCTGATAGACGACTGGTGGAGAGGTGAGTAGGGGGAGCGCAAGAGAGCTGGCATGACGATGTGCTCTTGACAGCAACGACGACACTTTACTTCACTTGGCGGTGAAGCAGTTTTCGACGGTGCTGGCCCTGCAGGAGGAGTCTGTCGTGACCTGCCGGGCAGGAGTGCGTCGCCTGCCTGCTGGATCATGGTGCTCGGATCGACGCGCAGAACGCGCTGGGGAGGACAGCGCTGCATGAAGCAGTCATGATGTGACGAGGAGGCGGAGGATTCCGGGGGTGCTGACGTGAAGCCTCAAGGCCCTTTAGCACGACAGTCCTCGAACTCCTCCTGGAGAGAGGATGCGACATGGAGGTGAAGGACAGAGAAGGAGCGACGGCGCTATGGACAGCAGTGAGCTACCGGATGGTACCTGCATCCTCCTCTCCTCTCCTCTCCTCTCCTCTCCTCTCTTTCCCCGCCCCCTTCTCCTTCTGTCCTCTCTCCTCTCCTGTCCTCTCTCCTCTCCTGTCCTCTCTCCTCTCCCCTCCTTCCTGCCCCCTCGTCCTCTGCGGCTGAGCACGCGGCAGGTGAAGTCTGTCAGGACCCTTGTTGCAGCTGGAGCCTCGACTAGGGTGACAAGCAGCAACGGCACGTCGCTCTTGGATCACGCGGTTTTACAGCTCATCCTACCCTTCCTGTCTGATGGCTCCTCAGATGTCACAAGCAGCTATGCCAGCAGACATCGTCGACAACATCAGAGGGAGGGGGGAGGAGTTATCTTCATCACTTTAATCGTGAGGAACATGCGGCTCCTCCTCACTCAGACGTTCTTTGACATGCTCTCCTCCTTGCGGATCTGCGCGTACATGGCGTCGATCTTGCTCTGGTACTTCTTGAGCAGGTTGGGGCGGCGGAGCTTGAGGGTGGGGGTGATGAGATCTCCTTCGATGGTGAAGCCTTGCCCCAGCTGGTTGATCTCCGTCTCGAAGTCGATCTGCTTCGGCAGCTCGAAGCCGCGAAGTTTGGCGGAGCGACCGGTGGCGATGATGTCATCAAAGATCATCTTCTTCACCGCCGGGTCCTTGACAAGATCCGCCACCGACATGTTGGGCTTGTTCGACTGCGCCCACTTGAGCAGAACCTCCTGGTCCGGCACGATGATGCCGATGACGTAGTTCTCGTAGGAGTTGCCGTAGATCCAGCACTGACCCACCCACTTGCACGCGCTCACCGCGTTCTCCACGGCCTCAGGCGCCACGTACTCGCCTTGTGCGAGCTTGAAGATGTTCTTCTTGCGATCGATGATGGACAGAGAGCCATCCTCATTCCACATGCCGATATCTCCGGTATGAAGCCAACCCTTGTCGTCCAGAGTCTCCTTCGTCTCTTTGTCGTTCTTGTAGTAGCCAGGGAACACGTTGTAGCCCCGCAAGCACACCTCTCCTCTCTCGATGACTTTGCCGGCCAGAGAGGGATCGAAGGCTCCCTTGAAGGAGACCTGCGCTTCAAACTCTTCCTTGGTCTTGGGATAGACGTCCGAGGTCTTGTAGTCCTCCGTGTCCTGGAGCTTTACCTCAACCGCTGGCGTTGGTCCTCCGACATTTCCTCCCTTGATGCTTCCAAGAGGCTGCACGCAAGCAGCTGCGCAGTTCTCAGTCATTCCGTATCCCTGCAAGACAGGGCAGCCGAAGACTTGCTTGAGGAAGTGATGCAGTTCCGCGCTGAGAGGAGCAGCACCAGAAGCAAGGAGACGAATCCTTCCTCCCACCACCTGCTTGAGCTTGTTGAAGAGAATCATGTCGTAGATGAACTTGGACTTGTTGGACTTGAGACCCCAAGAGAACAGAGTCTTGGCAATGAACCCTTTGCTCTCCACGCCCATCATCACCTTGTCATAAATACGAGCGTAGATCCTTGGCACTCCAGCCATGATGGTAGGCCTGAGGTCAGGGAGATCTTCGCTTACAAGCTTCTTCACATCTCCTTGATAGAAGCCGATTGAGCATCCAACGAAGACAACGCAGTTCTGAAGGCAAGCCTCGAGGGAGTGAGCCAGGGGAAGGTAAGAGATGTAAACATCGTCCTCGAGGAGCAGATCCTCGCGGAAGTTTTGGCGGAGGATGCCGGCAGAGGATGACAAGACATTCTTATGCGTCAGAACCACTCCCTTGGGGTCTCCGGTGGTTCCGCTCGTGTACATGACGTACGCCCAGTCCTCGGGCTTGGGCATCATGTCGGACTGCAGAAGGAGCGTCACACGGGACGAGGTTGTTCCTCCAGCACTCACGTGGCCCTCGCTGGATTCCTTGATGACGTTGCTGAATGAGAGCAAGCGCAGTCCTGTTGCATTTATCAGGCGACGTCACATGTCAGGAAGGAAGTGAAGCCACCAGCAGCAGCGGCGCTGTCGATCTCCTCCTGAGTTGCATCTTCGAAGAGAACCTTTGCACGTAGCCAGTCAGTGTCAAGGGCTCTAGCGGGCCTGCCTCACGATGTTCTTCAGGGAGGAATCCTTCCAGTCACACTTGAGGATGGTCGCAAGCTTCGAGCGCTCCGCAGCAATCTGCACCCGGTGAGTTCTACACATCAGCAGCTCTCTTTTGGGACCGTCGTCAATTCAGCATGGTTGACGATGTAGCTCACAGCATTCGGCATGAGCGTGTCGTACAGAGGTACCGCCTGATACAAGCAAGCCTCACCAACACAGTCCTACCATCTCTAGTCGCCACGACTCACAACAATGCGGAAGCTCCAAGCAGCGTACAGAGTCTTGGTCCACTCAGAGCGATTGATCCTGTTAGAGGCTTCAGATCCTCTTTGCTCGACGGCTTCACCTCACGCGTAAACTCCGATGCGCGGCTGCTGCTCGCCTTCCTTGCCGGTGCCATCGAGGCTGCAGAGGTTCACCAGGCCCCGTCCCAGCCTGCCGGCGTTGCATTAGCGCGAGAGCTCGCGCAGGCTCACGAACCTGGTGATGTCCGAGTAGCACTTCTCATAGGTCTCGAACACATACTTGCCGCGCTTGCCGTCCGCCTCTCGCGTTCGCTCGCCCAAGAAAGGGCGGCTGGCATACCTTGGGAAACGTGTCAACAAGTCGAGTAGGCCTTCAAGACTGCTCACTTCTCCCTAGCACGCTTCACACAGGCAGGGATGGTGTTGATGTGAGGCTCGTCTGCGAAGGGGAGGCCAACCAGCTCCTTCTCGTATCCGGGGGCACGATGGATCTTACTCTCATTAGAGGCTTCTTTCTCACCCCACTGCAACAGCAATATCACAAACTGCGTTCGAAATACCGTGGTTCGGTGTCACCTCGACAGAGAAGGTGGTAGGGGGCGGAACATTCTTCAATGACATCTATAAAATCGTCAAAAATTTGAACAGAAGACGGAAAGACTGGTTTAGAATTCTCAGCCAATCGTTCTTCGCCAACATTGCTAGACTACACTTCCCATAACTTGTCTTGCACCTTGGTACAAACAACATGGCGTCATGGCACTTTCCCCAGCCTGAGCTAAAGCCAATCTGAAACCTCAAACTTTTCGGAGCCGGAGAATAGATCCTTGCACTTTTCCTCTTTCGTGATCCATTCTTGGGTTTCACTCTTCTTCCTCCCCTTCCCTCCCCCCTCCCCATTGCCTTCCCTGGCTTTTCTCCCTCTTCCTCTCTCTTCTCTTGGTAGATCGTCTCCCCTCATCGTGACTCGTCTACTCTTCTTCTCTCCTTCCTCCTCTCTCTTCCACTCCTTTTTCTCGAACTATCCGCGCCCCATTGTTCGTCACCATCGTTACCCCCTACCCCCTTATTTGACCAGCTATAGGTAGGTGGGGGTTCCTTCATGTTGCAAACCACCCTCCCGTACTAATTTACGGCCCCGCTCTTCCCTTTATAACCCCTACCCCCATAGTTCTCTACACCCACCCCCTACTTTCCTGATTTTACTCCTGTTTACTATGGTGATTGACCCACCCACCCCATATGACTACAACCCCACCCCCATATCTCGTAAATGCTACGCGGCTCATAACCCTACAAAAACCTTTGTACTAGTCACCTTGTCAAGCCGTAAACTTGCGACTCTCACTAATCTGACCCGGACTCTACTGAGTGACTCCCGAAGGCCCGCCCGGCCTCCGCCTGAGTCACCATGACTGGGCCGACCCGTATGGTAGGCTCAGTGCGTGAGTCAGACCGTCGGCGGCTTGAAACTTTATCATCGTGACTGGCAAACCGTTCAAGACATTTCCTATCCGGCTATGAAGAGTTTGACACAAGCCCAAACTGAGGCCTTGGAGAGACAAGTTCAAGCCTAAGCTCAAGACCCCCCGCCTACTCCATTCGCCTCATGCTTGGACTCACTCTTCCCTTCATCCTTGGGTTCTGTTTCCCTCGCCTCGGGAGAATCATCGCGATCCTTTCTATCCCGCTTATCTTTGGACTTCTTGTCCTTCTTGTCCTTCTTGTCCTTTCTATCTCTGCTGCTGTAAGAAAGTCAAAACTGGTAGGAGACGATGTAGGGCATCTGCAGCACCTGTCACGCCTTCTGTCTCTGCTCGAACTCCTCTTGCGCCGATCTCTGCTGCGACTTCTTCGATCCCTGCTTCTGCTGCGATGGTCTCTGCTTCGGTCTCTCCTGCCCCTTTCCCTGGACCTGGACCTACCATACGACAGTCATCCTGTTCCTACACAACAAGCACGACAGCGTCGATACCTGCTCCTCCTCCTATCCCTGTCGTCGTAAGACCGTCTTTTAATGGGACTTGGACTCCTTCTCCTCCTTCCAGGGCTGTCCCCTCGTCCTACACGTGAACAGCTCAAACGCAGGGCAAAGGAAACGCAGGGCCGTACGAGGTGAGGCAGATCTTCGGCGCAGTACCGGACTTTTCGATCGTCGTCCTCCCCCCTGACCGGCAGAAGCTTCTGTGAGCATGACGCTGCTCAGCGGATGCAGGATCGGCATGAAGAGGGCGCACCTTCGCTTTTCTGTGTCTTAGCACTGATCTTTGCGGCGATTCTTTCTTGCGCAGCCTTGAGCTGCTCCAGTGCGGAATCGTCGACTCCAGCAGCCTGTCCAGCAGAAGGCAGGACAGATCTTGGCTGTTGCGATCCGAGACATCCCGTCATGCACTCGGTTTGAGAGAAGCAGGCGACCAACCTGCACTATGGGATTCTTAGCTGGGCCGCATTTGATCGGAAGCCCTCCGAGGATCGTCCCCGACAGCGTCATGGCGATGTCTGCCTGCTCCTTGGATAGAAATCTAACAGAACAAGATGATTCAATCTGCAGCAGCAGCTTGAAGCATGCTCTCACTGCACAAAGGCGAAGCGGGTTCTGTCAAACCGAAAAGCTGTCGCTGGATCATCTCCAGCCATCCTCACATGCAGGACCTGAACGTGTTCAACGGGTCATGCTGAGGTCTGACGGCATGAGGTCACGAGCATCGTCGTACCTGACCACACACTGCTGAGAAGAACTGGTTCAACTGCTCTGCTGTGATGGAGGGATTGAGATTGCCAACGTATATCGTACAGCTCGCGCCCTCCGCTAAGAGGGCAGCAGTGTGATTCGGTCCGTAGGGACCGATCATCTTAGCAGCCAGATCAGGGTTGGACAGCAATTGAATCTGACGATCAAGCGTGAATTCACTCTGCCATGCTGGCACACAAGAACACAAGATCATTCATGATCTACCTGAACCGGGTTCATGATCGCACCGCCGACCTGTAAGAGAATGCTGGGGTCGACCTGCTGGTCCTGAGACGTCGCCGCGGTCTGTTTGCGAGAGAGAGCATCACTTCGAATAAGATTTGAGACAACAAGCCATAAAAATACATCGATGTCCATCAAACTCCTGATTTACAGCATCCATCCACGAAACCCCCAGAAACATGCTTCTTTTCCATTGGATGCAATCCTAACGACACCAACCATTTCTATCCTCAAAGAAACTCCCTGGGAGCATACAAGGAGAGATTCTAGAGATCTCTCAGGTTCTTCTGACTTTCATCACATCGTGACATCTCACCTGTTGCCCTTCGCCTCCTCCGGCATTGCCGCCGCCTTCAACCCCTCCAGATTCCATCGCCGAGGGTCCGCGCTCTATCACTCACCCCACCCTTACCCCCACGACAGCTTTTTGTACCCCCTTTTCACTACCCTACCCCCTATTCAAAAATATCCCACCCCTAGGATGTCCATCTAATACACCCCTATCAATACAGCGATGGATCCTTTCAACGTCCACCACCCGTTCTCATCCAACCCTACTACCCACCCTACCCCTCTTCTCATTACAGTCCACGTTGGTGAGTCACCCGCTAGACCGGGCAGGCGGCGCCAGAGCCGGTCTCAGGCCGGGCCCGGCCCGGCCCGGCGCCGGGTCCCACTCAGTCAGTGACTCTCCTGGCAGTACACTCAGCACTGAACTGGCTGCAAGTCATGGTGGCAAGACTCGGCCGGGTGACCGGGCCGTAGAGGCGGATGACTCAGTGAATGGACAGCCGCTGAGTCGGCAGGATGATGGCAGGGTTGATTCTCATCATGATCGGATAGTGAGGTTGTACGACTGGAAAGAACGTGCTGGGAGTTTGAAATTTTTGAGTCACGAGCTGAGTCGTTTGAAGACTTGAACTCTCTGTTGAGCCATGTTTCTGTCACTCCAGGACAACTGCGGCTCTTCTGAAGAAGTTGATCCATGCACTCCTACGCTTCCGCACGTCTACCGGTAGAGCACGAGGCCTGCCATGAGGAAAATCGATACCCCGAGCTGATTCCTCCAGGCTGTGACTTGACGTTTCAGTCGCTCCTTTCCTAGCCCTTCAAGGCTTCTTTCACTCCTCCGCTCCAGTAAGCTTCTGCTATGATCTCGTAAGCTTCCAGGCTGCTATGATCTCGTAAGCTTCTGCTATGATCTCGTAAGCTTCTGCTATGATCTCGTAAGCTTCTGCTATGATCTCGTAAGCTTCTGCTATGATCTCGTAAGCTTCTGCTATGATCTCGAAAGCTTCTGCTATGATCTCGTAAGCTTCTGCTATGATCTCGTAAGCTTCTGCTATGATCTCGTAAGCTTGTGCTATGATCTCGTAAGCTTGTGCTATGATCTCGTAAGCTTCTGCTATGATCTCGTAAGCTTCTGCTATGATCTCGTAAGCTTCTGCTATGATCTCGAAAGCTTCTGCTATGATCTCGAAAGCTTGTGCTATGATCTCGTAAGCTTGTGCTATGATCTCGTAAGCTTCTGCTATGATCTCGTAAGCTTCTGCTATGATCTCGAAAGCTTCTGCTATGATCTCGAAAGCTTCTGCTATGATCTCGAAACTTTCTGTTCGTTTCCGTGCGCATCTCGTAAAAGTTTCGCATCTTCTTAGCTCAATGCTGCTTCCCCGCTTCACGAAAACCCTCAGAACCAGGAGGGAGGGGAGCAGGAGAAGCAGGATCAGGAGGACGTGGAGGATTAAGAGAAGGAGGTGGTGGTGGGTTGATAATGAGCAAGAGCAAGGGAGAAGAGCGAGTGAAGTGCGGGAATGAGGTGCTGGGGGCGGGGGCGGGGAGGAGGTCGGGGGGAGGTATGATGGGATTTAATTAGGACCGGCAGGAGCCGTATCCCCTAGAACGTGTGAAGGGGAGGGGGGGCGGGGGGGGGGCGGCTAGATGACATGGACGGAGGAAGAGAAGGGAGGGGAGGGAAGAGAGAAGAAGATGAGGTTCAGAGGAGCAGGAAGATGTGTTGTTTGTGCTCGATTCTCATGCTGCATAAAGCAGGTCCTACCATCATCCATCCGATGACATGTAGAACTGTAGCCCCGCGCCCCTCCCCTCCCTGCAACTGGCCCTCCATGTCGTATGGCACGTGAGGATCAGGTGAGCGATGAACCCTTGGAAGCAGACGGCCGCGTCCATGGCGAGAGTTTCCCCCATGTTACGATGCTCGTGTCCCGTGCTGCAGGCATGCTCGTCTAACAGGCATGACGGGCAGCGGCTCTTCGTGCGCATGCTGGCTGTGAAGGGCGGAAAGCCATGGACCCCGAAGAAGTTCTCCAACGAGAAAGCAAACATATTCCAGCTCGTGCCGAAACCCTCCCCCTTCCTCTCCTCAGAGCTTGCGAGACCCAACGCGTCCAAGGTGAAGCTCCTCCCTCTCATCCTCCTCGAGCTGACGGCAGCGCAGACACAGGCAGAGCCTTCCAGCCGGTTGGTGACCGTTGTAAGGACGGAGGAGGACGCGAGAGCAGCGTTGGAAGTGTGAGTTAGCGCTTGAGCTCCTTGCAACTCTGACGGGAGTACCAGGTTGATGCAGAAGCGGATGGAAAAGATCATCTTCGCCTGCGACACTGAGACCTATGGCGTTGACCCGACGGTCGAGAGCCCTGTGGAGAAAGGAAGCTGCGCCTGCTTCTCCCTGTACGGGGGCCGCTAGTTGATTTCAAGCACGTCGGGGAGACTCTGGAGCTGACGGACGAGGATGTGTCGGGTGAAGCAGAAGCTGTCTCTGAGATTGAGAACGAGGAGAATCAGAGCCAAGCGAAGTCGGAGACGCGGGAAGAGGAGGCGGGGAAAGAGCAGGGAGGGCCTGGCATGCAGGAAGCTGAAACGAATGCGCACAAGGTGGCTGAGGGATCAGAAGCGAACGCGGAGGTGAAGAGCACAACCGCACGGAGAGGAAAAGGGAAGAGCAACAGGCTGTGGGTGAACACGCTCGGAGAGGAGGGAGAGAAAGTGCTGGCGGTGTTCAAGGTCTGGTTCGAGGACGAGCGGTTCAAGAAGATCTTCCATAACTGGAGCTTCGACAGTCACATCCTCCGCAACCACGGCATCACTGTGCGAGGGTTCGCGGGCGACACCATCCACATGGCTCGACTGTGGGATGCGAGCAGGTTGTCGACAGGGAAGGGGTACAAGCTGTCGGTGCTGTCAAACGAGCTGCTGGGGTGGGGGAAGACGGAGATGAAGGAGGTGTTCTCTGTAAGGAAGCTCAAGAAGGATGGAACCCCAGGCAAGGTTCTGATCCTACGAGACTCCTGCTCCATCCAGACCGACGACGACCCCAAGATCTTCCGCAAGTGGGTCCACTACTCCACCTACGACTCGCTGTGCACGTGGTATCTGTACTACAAGCTCAGGAAGGAGCTGGAGGAGATGAGCTGGAGCCCGGACCTCGTGATATTCTCGCCAGATTCGATCCTCAAGGGACGGCTGGGCAAGGTTGACGTGAAGAAGCCGACCAAGTCAAAGCTGCTCTGCATGTTCCAGTTCTACGAGAGGTTCTGGAAACCCTTCGGAGAGATTCTGACGGACATTGAGAGGACGGGCATCTTCATCGACCGGGATTACCTCCGCCAGCAGGCTGCCGCTGCTGAGAGGGACAAGGAGGAGAAGCTGGCAGGATTCCGGAGGTGGGTGGGAAAGCTTTGTCCGGATGGGATCTACATGAACACGAGGAGCAACTTGCACAAGAAGCACCTCCTCTTCTCCTCCAAGCGCGTCGTCATCACCTCCCAGGAGCCTGTCACCAACAGCAAGACCAAGCATACTTACTCGGTCGGGGAGGAGGTCGAGCTCGCGTACACAGACGCTCAGGCGCTCATTGACAAGGGGCTGGCGAAGGCTGTGGAGGAGGCGGAGGAGGAGCACTACAAGACCTTCACCATCGACAACACTGAAGGCTTCCTCGAGGAGGGGAGAAGTGAACCCAGAGCCACCCGAGAGATCAGACTCAAGGGCCTCGGCCTCTCTCCTGTCTCCTACACCCCCGCTGGACAAGCGTCGACCTCAGGTCACAGCAGAATCGACTCCTAAGCCTCCGTTTGCCTCCTCCATCCTCCCGCCTCCTCCTTTTGCCTCCTCCATCCTCCCGCCTCCTCCTTTTGCCTCCTCCATCCTCCCGCCTCCTCCTTCTGCCTCCTCCATCCTCCCGCCTCCTCCTTGACCTCCTCCCAGCCTCTATTTCGTTCTGCATCATCACTCTTACCTGCTGATCTCTCCTCGCTTTTCCCCTCCCCTTGCTCCTCCTCTGACCGCTGTCCCTTCAGGGAGCGTCATCTCAACCCTAGCTGGGAAGCCCTTCGCCGATCCTCCGCGGTACGGGACAGCCTTCAAGGACCTTGGGGAGGGAGACTTCGGCAAGGAGGTCTGCGAGGCCCTTGGCTTCCTCCTCGAGTCGGAGAACGTGGAGAAGCTTCTGAGCACTTTCCTCATCCCCCTGCCGGAGATGACGGACCAGCACGGCAGGATACACACGGCCCTCAACCTCAACACCGAGACTGGCCGCCTCTCCTCCAAGAGGCCCAACCTGCAGAACCAGCCTGCCCTCGAGAAGGATGTTTACAAGGTCTCCTCGCTTCCTCCCTCCCTCCCTCCCTCCCTCACCACCACTATGTCGACTGCAATTACTCCAGCTCTGGGGGATGTGGTGCCGTTGGCTTTGTTCGTGTGTAGCTGTGCCTGCTCGCATGTACTTCCTCCCTCACACGGCAAACAAAAAGATAGTCCCTTTATTTTACTTTTCGATCTGTGGTGTTTGTTTTTTTTTTCCCATATCTTCTTCTCCT